TTTTTGTTTTTAATTCAAAATCGAACAAAAATGTTTTGCTCGTTTAAAAATAAAGCCGACGAAACTTTTTATTCATTTTGCCTGATCCGCGGAAAAAACGTAATGCGGAAAACAAGCTGTCAAACAGGTCAAAAGTGAGCTCGGGCTTAAAAAAGCGTACAAATTATCCGCCGTGACGTCGTTGGATAGTAGTGGTGACAAAAGGACTACACGGTAGTCGTTTTAGTTAAAGTAATTCATATTGAAAACGCCACGGCAGCGATGACAACTATTTCAACGTCGCCGGTGCATATTTTCGTGTTACAATGTCAAAGTGAATTACGGTTTAATTATTGTAGGTTTTGGTTAAGTATGAAGCAGTTCAGATTTGATTTACTTCGGATTAACGTAATTATCGACAATTTTAAAATCCGTAAAAACTAAAACCCTCGACAATTGTGTATTTTCACTAAAGCATTGAAAATTCAATTAAAAATATTCCGACGGTTAAATTATGAAAACACAAACAAATCTTCACTGCCTCGTGTCCTCAATGACTTTCATAATTACACGCCGAATATAATAAATATGCTGAAGACATCATAAGTTTTTGGTGCCCACGTTCAAATCATCAGTCATACTATTGTGTCTTTAGAGTACTGTTTTAGTTTTGGCATATAATTAAGTATTTCGGACATAATTGAATAAATACCGCCAACTCTACACGGGCCTATGCTCGTGTGTCGATTTAACGTTCTGTGATTTACCAATCTCCCACGTATAGTTTAAACATGTTTAAACAAGTAGGGTTATTGCTTTTTTTTTCTACTTTGCACGACTGTTAATTGAGTCAACAAACTCGAATAGAGAAACGTACAACGTAAACCTGTGGACTTGGTTGTACGCCCGACATCCAAAGACCTTCGTTCCCACGCGCTCGATATAATGGAAACATATTGAAACGTTTAAGACAGTCTGACGCATCTATTCGCAAAGCCTCGTTTGCAAAAATTTACCCAAAATGCAAACTGATCGATACACAGCAAAACGCTGTAAATTTCGAACGTTTTTTCCACAACGTGTCCGTCGTTTTCAATGATCACTACGTATGTTTCGTTTGTAAAAGGGACCGCCATAAAACTGCAGCGCCGTCGATTAAAGTTTATATATTTCTAACGGAAGTGAACGTACACGTGCTATCCAATAGTGTGCTGCTCAACGGCGTCCCATTTTGTGCATGGGGAGGGAAAGTAAGCCGAGAGAGGGGGCAATCAAACCGAAGCATAGGACGAAGGGGTGCGAGAATTTATTTCCGGTTAACTCGACACCACGGTGCGGCGGCAGTGGTGTAAAAACATGGCAGAGGGAGTTAAGTGGGCGCGGAGTTGGATGACAGAAATATAATTTCCCCACTAGGTTTCGTATAAAAACGGCTAGCGCTCGTTAACAACACGCGTTGTTGTGTACTCACACCACCGGAAATTTTCGATGCCAAAAGGGACCGAGACGCAAGATGGAGATAATAATTGTATGGGTACACAGCAGCATCCAGAGTTTCAGCAGGCTGTTCTCGGTCGTGCAATTAACGTAACAGCAGTGACACGGGGTTCGGATAACGCATAAAATGTATGACATTTTTAAAGATCATTCGCTAATAACGAGACTAACAAACAACACAGATACACTGTCCGCATAGCAGTACAGATGTGAATCCGTACTCGGCCGTTTGACTGATTTTTGTTTTTTCGTCTCCCTGCGCTTTCCAAATGTCCTTGCCCCGTGATTGATTCTTTAATATTGATTTATTTTCATCCAGTCCTCCTCCCCCGCTGTTCCAAACTCCGGAAATGCACTTGGGAAACGATTTATCATCGAAAGTCTCCTTATTGGCACTTGTTCAAACAAAACCGCTTTAAACTGTTATCGTCCTCTAAATATAAATCCCACTCGAATAAAAGAAATACTGGCAAACAGTAGAAATAATGATGAAACATTGTTGTAGAGTGGTCGTTTTTATGAGCATCTGCACAGTTTTTTATGAAGTTCATAATAACACTAGAGGTGCATAAGAAAATTATTATTGCGTTCTCGCCGTGAATTTTTAGACTACTCGATGATATAATAATTAATGTTTTACGAGGAAAAGTCAGGATCAACTATTTTCATTAAATAATGGCGTCTACCCTCGGCCCATTTTCTCGAAGTAAAAAAAAAAACCTCTCGAGACATCTCCTTTGTTGGTGTTAAGAAGTTGTAACACAATATATAATACTAGACACTGTTTATAAATATCAAACGCACCAAAGTAATATAAACTTGTAAGAAATAACCAACTTAGAGTACGCGATAGCGTTTCGTAGAATATATTTATGAAGTCTAGGTATAGTTTTTACTTTTTTCAAGTAACTTCATTTATATAAACATAACTTTGCACTCCGAGTACGTCGAACTTGTTCATCAACTCGAGGTCTTACCCTTTACGTATCTGAAACGCTCGTGCAATAAAGAGTTTGACTGGGACTCAGTGAAAATGCCACTAAAAGTCTGTTGCAAGACCGCAATATTCTGTGATTTGTCAAAAACCTACTGCCGTGTCAAGGAACTTTAGATTTATAGCGAAAAACGATCCTATTTTTTTGTTTACAATAATTTATAACTTCGCAAGTGTTTTTATTTTCTTCTTTTGTATAAACGAAATTCAACCGGACTAACAAGAAACGGGGACAATTCCCAGGAATATAACTAATCTTAAACGCCATCGTTGGTTGGACAAAATAAACTTGGTCTGCTTATATGAAATATTGCCAAAAAGAAAAAAAAACTAAATAAATAAATAAGAAAAACGGTGAAGTTTCCGTATCCTATATCGATTTTGAAGTACGACAAGACCGAGCTAAACGGGTTTAAAAGAATTGATAAGAAATCTTGAAGGTAGGTTTAAAAAAGTATAAAACATCTAGAAAGGGTGGCCCAAAAAAAGGGAAGCTGTACATTAAACATACATATATACAACTATGGCGCTATTAAAAAGGTCCTATGGCAGCATTTATACACACTGGAAAAAGAGCAGCATTACTTATGAATTAATCAGACGGTAAACCTGAGTTCCCCTAAAGCATTATTATTCTAAAGCCCATCGAGTTGCATTCGCGGAAAAACCTTTTGCTTGCTTTTCTGGAAGTATTTTCAACACAGTTCCGAGAAGTTGGGTCGATCCAATTATTTCAGTCGTTTTTTTACGGTCGACTCACTTCGATTGATGAAAAAATAATACACGCATGCATATAAATTATTATCGAGAACTTGTCTGACGTAGACGTGGTGTTATTGCCCTCAATTTTATCGGCTATAAAATGTTCAACGTACCTACCCTATAAGTTAAAAATACATGCTCAAGACTGAAGTCTTGATTTTTAAGCAATTATAAAATATATATTTCATATAAAAAGGTCGGCTACTTGATACTAAAAATATAGAACTTTTTAAATAAATACCAACCATGGACAAGGATAATTCAATTTTAATTAAATAGAATGATTTTTTTTTTTATTTTGATTTTAAACAGGTTACAAATTTATGTGTACACTAAGTGTGTAATGATATTTAAAGTAATACAAAAATCATATCAGTATTAAAACTAATACATTTGACACTATAACAGGGTAATCGCTGATTTTTCTTAATCATACAACTGTAGTCTTATTTGTTTAGTGTTCTCATAGATTAAAGGTCGTATAATAAAATGCAGGACAAATATACAGTGCTGTATTGGATTTAATGTTTAAATAATACAACGTTACCATAGCACACCATTGACCCTTTTTAATAGCTATTATTTTTTTATAATAATATTAATTTCTACAACAATATATATATATATTAATAGAGTAAGATTCACAATTAAAAATCACGCTATTGTTGGATGGCTGGTCATTAATAAGAGTTAAGGATTTGCCACTGACTGTTGTGAGTACTTGCGTGTGTATGGCACCACTTCAACATGCTTCGCCCAATTCGGGTCTGAAAATATTATATTTATTTCACTCTGTTAGCAAAAGTGGTTATTTTAATGCGTTAATATTTTAAATAGAAATACATTTTTTCCTCGATATTATTAATGGCCAAATTTTTTCATAAATAATCGTTATAGATAAAATTATCACCGTGAGTATTTTGATTCATAAAAAATATACCAATTAACGTTGACATTCTAAAACTAAAACAAATTGGAAATTAATTCATCATTAAAAATATGTTTTTTAAACGTCAACAAAACATAAACGAGTCCAAAGAAATGAACAGACTTTATAGTAGTTTGCCCAAGACCAGTGTCGATTGTGGTGACAGTAAGCAGGCGTTCTGCATAGGCATTATTCGTACATAGATGAATATTGTGCCTCTTGTTCAGTATAACTACAACACGTTGCACCGGTAGTTGGTTCAATTTTTTATGATTAAATGATATAATAACGTGCTTAGATTCATCGGGAAATATCCTTTATAATGCAATTTACAAACGCATAAGTGAACAATAACGAAACTTTTAAAATAAATTAGTTTTAAAGACAAAAAAATACGATTATACAAGTTTCTATTTTATAGTGAAACAATTCTTGGATAGCGTACGACATAAAAAATGACTGAATTAAAATAATTTAATAAAATAAAATAACACAATGATTTTGTCCCAGAACATCTTATTAAGTTTTACATTGTTACATAATAATAAAAAACAAACTTTGTCGAAACAAAAATAACATAGTTATAATGTTTACGCATAAATACTCTTGTACATATAAGATTAATTATTATTGAATATCTTTTGATTATATTGTACCGTTGGCGACATTAATTGTAAAATTATTACTATTTCAAGTACAACTATTAGTAAGCGTCGGTTCCGTTGGGCAGCGCTGCCGTTATTGTTCAGTGCCGCCGTCGTTTTTTAGTGGCACACATCGCCATCGCAGCAGCACCGTCGCCGTCCGTAGCAGTGGTCCGCCAGAGGAAACGTCCCGTCTCACCAGACGTTGCCTGTCCGTTCAGTACACCACGCGCGCTCGTCCTGATCGGTTAGCCGGTCGAAACTCTAATATTATCGCACAGTCGGCCGAACACGTAATACAAAATATACCTATACGTTGTGCGTATGCGCGCGTCACATCTGATCGGTAGTAGTCAGCAGCAGCAGCAGTTCGTAGTAGTGTATAGTAGAGCACTGTCAGTCGTTTGCAATCTCTCAGACAGGCACGATATGCTGTCCGACCGTGGGCAACACAACAACGAGCAGCAACAACAGTTGTATTAACTTTACCGACTAGTGCGTTGATATCGTTTAGTTATTCTATTATTATTTTTTTTTTATCATAATACTTAACCGGTGCGGCTTAGGAAATTAAAAATTATTTTAATTTAATCGCAGTGACCGAGAACTTGGTATTCAAAAAAAAAAAATTATTTTGTTCGACCCACGTTATGTTTTGAAATAGAAAAAGTGATACGTATTTTTTTTTTTTCAAAAAAGTGTCTGACTGACGAGAGTCAATTTTTTTTTTTTCGGGATTTAACGAATTCCCAGTTTTATTGGATATCTGTAAAATTGTTACCACACGATGGTGCCCAAACAAGAGAATCGCGATGACACAACGGATACCAATGCGGACATTACTCAGCAGCCAATGTTTGGATCACAGATGGTCGACGAAAATTCACCGACCCCGTACTCTGATGCCACACAGGTGTGTGTTTGTGTATTTATGTGTCCCCCTAAGATACCCGACCAACTCTCGCGCGTAACAGTATTTTATTTTTGATATTTATTTTTTTGTTGCGAAATTCTTATAATTCTGACAATATGAATAAAAAAAAAAAAAATTGATAACCCGATTGAGTGATAACCCGCCAGAGTTAATATAATTTTTTTTCCGTACCGTCTAGTAGCCGGTCAATTAATCGTTGGCGTGTGAATTAAATATTAGTCGGAACATCTCTATGGGATCTGTTATCTTATCGCCGCTCCGTTCGGGTCCGCGTGTTCGCTAGCAACAATAACAATAAATAATAATAACACTCGGAAAAGAACGCGTTATTTTTACTGCTGGTTAGGGACGACCCAAAAATAGGCGATTGAAAAAAATGTACAAGTGTTCGCAACGTTGTAGTATTGGATTTAAAAAATATTTTATTTATTTACACAGACGAATTTGTTTAATTATGTTCGATTTATATAAATTTTAATTGCCCGTCGGTGTTTAACTGTAACGAAAACGTTTTTAACGTTACTGCCTTTTTTTTTCGCTTAATCATTATTATTATTATTTTTTATCACGTTAATAATTATTTCGCGTATTGAAAAAAAAAACATTTATTTTCGAATTGTACTCGAAATCAAACGACAATTATTATCGATTGTCATTAGCAGGTTATCAACACCCGGAAACGTTAGTCCAGCGACAACGCCGCCCTTGAAATTTTACCAAGGTCAATAAGCGCGCTAATCCCTCAACCCACAAAAATTGTTTTTATATGAATAAATAACACATTATCGAGTGTCTGCCAATGAATTAATATTTTTCTCGATTTTCGACAGCTAATCATTATTTATGTACTGGATAAAGTATTTTATTTGTGTTTAAAAAAACGAGTTTCTTCGTTCTACCGAAGCCTTTCGTTTAGTTTTGTCACTTCAATTGACTTGCACAAAACATCTAAGCTCGCGACCTTTTCGTTTTAACCGTTCGATTATTTATATTATTTGTTTTCCGCGGCCGTTATTTTAATTAACGAGGAAAATAAAAGTCGCCCGTAGAACAATATTAAATCACGAATAATAATTTTATAGTACAGTTAACACTGGAACTAATTGGTTATTTTCATTTTTAATTAAAAAACAAATAAAAATAGTTTATTAATACGCAGTATTAATATGCAGTATTTTTGTAACGTGTTGTAAATTTCGTATTAAAATAAATGCTAATAATTTTACTATTTACGCCTCTTTATAAATTAAATTCAAAAGATATTTGCATAATTTAAACGCTCTCATTAATATACATGTTATAATAATAACATCGCGGCATCGAGTTTTTCATTATTTTCGCCTAAATCTCAAAACTGATATTTACAATAAAATTCTTCAAAATAAATTGTATTTTAATTGAACGTAATAATGATAATAATAGTGAAATATTTATTTAAAAAATGTCCGATATTGCAATCCGATAAAATATCGAAATTTCATTTTCATCGCACGATTCCATAATTAAACGACGACCATTTGCGAGGGGATATTAGAGGGGGTCACAGTGAGACAGGTGGTTGCCCCGTTCGAAGGTTGTGTTTGCGAGGCTCGTAATGAGTCATTCGCCTTTTCCGCGTGCCCAGGACGGTGGGGGGGGGCTGCGGTGGTGGTGTGGAAGGTNGGGCCCAGGGGGGGGGGGGGGGGGGGGCTGCGGTGGTGGTGTGGAAGGTTGCCGCCCGCAGCTGTAGCAGTTTGTCGGGCGGCGTGCGGGCAAGCTCGTGTATGCGCTTGTTAATGACCTTGAGTTACACAACTCCGCCGGCCTCGCATCTTCCCGCTGCCTTGACAGTGAAAGTAACTCCGCTGCGGCCACCACCTCGTCCGCCGCCGCCGCGCTACTATTAATAATGTTACAACGCTCGTTTTTTTTTTTTTCTGTTTGGATTTTGTAAAAACTCTAAAATAAATAATAAAAAATGCGCAAAGTTCGTGCCAATAATTATACACGTTGTGTCCCAACAGCGCGTATCGGCAACGACAGCCAAATTGCTTTAGGTATTTTCTTGACCCGCGGGGGAGTTGCGTATCTGCGTGCGTAGTTGGCCGTCGACCGATTTTTCCAAAGGCCGTTGGCCCCTGTTTACGGTGATGCATGAAAATTGTTTGAATATCGCAGCCATTACCTTAACCTTTCGTTTGTTTTTTATTTTTTTCCAGACCAAGAAAAATAACCCGAATCACATCAAAAGGCCCATGAACGCATTTATGGTGTGGTCACAGATCGAAAGGCGCAAGATCTGCGAACTTCAGCCAGACATGCACAACGCGGAGATATCGAAAAAATTAGGCATGCTGTGGAAAACTCTATCGGAAGAACAGCGCAAACCGTTTATCGAAGAGGCGGAACGTTTGAGGCTAATGCATCTCAAAGAATACCCGGACTACAAATACAGACCCCGCAAGAGAACGCCCAAGAACGCCGCCGCGGCCGCCAGTCCTTCGGTCGCCGCGTCCAACGCCGTCACCAAACCGCAAATGACGCCCCAGTCCAAGTTCCGGAAAAACATGTGCAAAAAGTTTGCCAACAACATAAGCCGAGTGACGTCCACCGTGACGTCGGGCGCCGTTCACCTGTTGGAGACGGCCGGCAACTCGGCACCGACCGGCCGGACGTCTACGTCGTCACCGCTAGATCCCAAAACGTTTTTCCGCCGTAACCCGATCATACAAGTGAACAGAATGAGCCCCGTCAACCCGGATCGGCTGAAGTATCACTTCACCATTGAGACGTGCAAACCCAAAGAACTCGTTGCGACCGAAGTCCGAGTGCCCGCGTCCGTTCACGCCAAAGTGCCGACCAGTCCAACGTGCGACTCGCCCAACTCGCCAGAGAGCGCCACCTTCTACGACGAATCTCCGCCGTCGTGTTTCGACAGCAAGCCGCTCAAAATCAAAGTAGTCAACCCGTTGAACACATCGGCCACAATCACCGTACTGCCCGGTTCCGATTTAATGGACGACGACGACGACGACCTGATGCTCAGACCGGGATCGGCGTCCCTGTTGCCCGACCACCAAATCGACCTTCACGCGTCTACCGCCGACCTCATCTCTAGGAACCTAATGAAAGACGACTTGCTGGTAAAAGCTGAACCCTCTTCGTCGCCTTCGCCGTTCTTCAAAACCGACAGTCCATCATTTTTCGTCAAACAGGAACCGCTAGACTGTGATTCCGAATCGGCAGCGCTGGGCCGAGTCGGAGAGAACCCGTCCTTGGCCGACTTGGACTCCCTCACCGACCTCATCCAGATGCCGTCCGACTTCAAGATGGACATCGACTGTCTAGCGTCCGATTTGAACGGCGGAGACGGCACCGGCGTCCGACAGAGCTCTCATTTGGAATTCTCGTGTACGTCCGACATGACTGATATTCTGTCTCACATGGGCGTCACTGCCGACTGGGAAGACGGTCCCCTCGGCCGTCTCATCAATGGCTGCTGAACCGCATTAGCGACGTAGCCATCGTCCTCCACCTGCCCCTACATTTAAATCAGGTATTCTGTGATTGGTTATTATTTTTAAAGTTAATTTATTCATTATAACATTATGTTTCTTCTTCTTTCTTCATATATATATATATTATTATTATTATTATTATTATTATTATTATTATTATTATTATTATGTATAAACCTAACAACAAAACATTTGAAACGCGTTTGGAGTAATCAAAAAACATGTTATGTATTATGATTGTATGTATGTTTCTACAGTACTGCATAAGTTATTTTTTTTTTTGTTAAAGTTTTCATCTTTTACGACGGCCCTTTTGTACGATTTTATGTAAACACGAGCGTGTGTATTATGTTTTAAAAAATGTATATCAATAAATTTTAAATATATTATATATTTGACAAAATGGTAACTCACTATGTTTTTAGCGCAACATATAACAGTTAAACGATACTATAAAAACTTGTAAAATGTTCATTATGGTTTGATTTGAAACTTAAGTATTCGTGTATAAAATATAACATGTATAATTTATGTGTAAATTTATATTTTTGCTTTACTGTGACACTACCGTATTTAATTCTAGTAGAGCTTAAACAGTGTATCGCTTCGAAAATTCTTCTAATTTTTTTTACTCCAAGTGTGAACGTATTTGTTTAGATGTTTTTATTTATATTTTTTAATAATAATCACGTTGTACTATAATAATAATTATACTGTTGCTTAAGTGTTGATAAGTATATAGGGTGCTTCCAATTTGTATTTAAAAAAAAGCAAAAAAAAAAAATGATTTTTTTAGTATATGTGTAATATATATTGTGAAAATCTTATGTCCGAATTAGAAAAAAAAAGAAAGGAAATCGTTTTCGTCATCTCGTATGTTTGTTTTTGTGCTTTGGCTAGATACTTACACATTTAAAAAAAAAACATATTTTGAATTGCCTGAATTTTTAATAAAACGTCAATACAAATATTACCAATGTTAAAAACAGTTCCACTGATAAATCTAAATATACCATGTACATAAATGAAAAAAAAAAATACAAGGGCGCGTGATACGGTGGTGTTAGTATCATTTTTACCATTTAAAATCCACAAGTCATTTTGTACTGTATAATATTGATGAAACCTGATAATATGATCTCAAAGTAAAAAAAAAATAAAATAAAATGATGTGTGTTTTTTTTTTTTTTTTTTTTATTGTTTAACTTCAATAACTTTTTCTGAACATACTAGTTTGAAAAAACACGGTAATTCTTGTTTGGCAAAGCATTTATGGGTTGTTTTGTAAAAACTTATGTTTTTCCTACTATGTTAGCTCTTAACTAATAATTATTAAGTGCAAAGTGTTTTAGTCATGATACCCGTTTTTTTTAATACAAATTATGAAACAACTATATGTAAAAAATATTACAAGGTCTTTATAATTAATATATATTTGCCTTAAAATTATTTTGTTTGTTTTATTTTTTTTTTTTTTATTATTAAATAATATATACAAATTTATATAAATATATAAAATAAGTGTTTAAAAAGATAAACCCCTCCCCTCCCACTTTCTTATCTATTTTATATACTTATATATTATTATTATTATTATTATTATTATTAGTTGGTTTATTATTATGTATATAATGATGTACCATATAGTGTTGTATATAGATTTACTCATTTTACATTATTACAGGTTAGTCTTACGTACTTTACCTATTGTTCGCAAGTAAATCAGTATAAATTATAATGATGTTAAGAAGTTTTAACACTTTTTATTTGTGTACGTTTAAATAAAAAAGAAAACTCGTGCATAAAGCGAAAAATATATACATTATATAAAAGTGTAATCTTTTTTTTATATCCTTAAAATTATATTTATATAATTGTTGATAATCGTGTGTATTGTGATTTATTTATCATATCCTATCATAATTAATCCTTTCTCGCAGTGTAAAAACTCTTTTTTAACCACCAGAGGTTTCATAAATGTTTGAATGCCACGGTTAGTTTGTTGGTTTGCAATGGCAATACGATACAACAGACCGTTGACTTGTTGCCGACGGGCTTTGAATTTAAAATAAAATTCTGTCCGGTTAAGACTTCTAACGCACAAACAATCGACTTTGAAACGATAAATTTATTAGTTAGTCATTGGATGTCGTTATGTTCGACCACTGCCTCGTCGTTGTATAGATAATGAATGTTTCGGATGATTATTAATTATTGTGTTTCGTTGTGTCATACCTGTACACTACTTCTATTCGAATGAATTCTTAGCACACCGCTCGGTAGTCTACTTACAATGGCACCGTCCGCCGCCACGTCTAGACACTTATTCTAATTAAAACTTAGTAACCCGGTGATTGAGTAATTTTATACTAATCACAATATTATGACGATATTGCTTAACACCTTAAGAAATGATCGGACGCGTTTAATCAAAAATTGTTTACAAAACACTTGAGATGTACTGACTAGGCGTTCAATCATTGTTGCCGTAATGTTATTGGTACACTCATTTTAATCATTTTATATAGATAATTGTCTGTTATAGTTCATCACATCTGAAACTAATATAAAAAAAAAAAATGTGTTATTGCCGTTGTTCCGTACAAACTAGTGAAAGGAACCCAATAATCTGAGTAACAATGTCAATTTTAATAAAGGAAACATTTTTCATGCATTGTTGTCGTGTGGAATCGAATGAAATGCGCCACCAAAATAATGTTTGTTTTTTAGCTGGGCGTTCTAATCGACTAGCTGACTGTGCGAGATAAGACGCTGTTCGTTCGCCTCTGTCTACTAAAATTACTGATAAAAATATGTATTTTTATTTCACTAAAAGATGATCGCTGTGTGAATTATAGAAAAGTTATTTTTATTCATCAAAGCAAACAAACCGTTGTCCTTAATCAACTAATATACAATGTACGTTGGTTATGCGATGTGTAAACTTGGTTTTTAATCGACTAATGAATTTGATTTCCTTATATTTTTTTATGCGTTCAGTCGTTGTTTATGTGACTATTAAAATTTGTTGACAATTCATAATTCATTTGGATCACGAGTTTAACTCGTATTGACTCGAGTAATCAACGGGCGTTTTTTTTCATTCCCACAGCCAAAGCATTTTGAAACGTAACATCTTTTGCATTGACTAACCTGAGAATTAAAGAATATTCTTCGTGTCTCTGGCACTGTAAAAATGAATAACGTCCACGGCATTTTTCGTGTCGAATTCCCAACAGACTCTGTAAGCTTTTGCTCGATAAAAGTGTACTGTAACATATGAATACTGATAAATTGGAATTCTACCAAATACCGAATACGTTGACAGTTGACACTCTATCTAACGACGTTGAGCCTACAGGACTCGGTGCCTGTAAGACAATTGGAATTTTATTCGATCGGTTTCTTCGTTCGACGTGACACCGACCTGGCGTGTGATTTCAACATAAACAATACTCTTTAACACGGCGTAGAATCGTATGGGCGACTGCCCCTCGCCAACACCCTAAAACGTCAATGTCAGACTCTGAACCGTCATCACGCTTCCGAAAAACATTTACTTTTTTTTTTTTTTACAAGTTGCACTGTCGTGTCAGTTTTCTATTCGACCGTTATCTACATTGGCGTCAGCAGCAGCAGAAATACAGACGGGCAACACAAAGGAGGGGACATGCACGTAAATACATAAGTCTTTGCGGCGGGTATTCCCAAAAGATACGAGCCGAGGGTGTATGCATGAGATATCTGGTAGGATTATAATAGGAGAAATTCACGGAGAGTCCAAAGTCGCGTTAAGGGGGAAATGCCAGATGCGAAAATATTGGAGGAAAAGGGAGAGAAATTTGCGAATGCTGTGCGTGACGCATTGAATATCGTGTGTTGTGAACATATAACGTTATTTGAATAAAAACACAGTCATAAATTAATGTTTTTTATTAAAAATATTTGCAACGATTATTCCGTTTAGCAAATATTTAGGTAATTATTTCGCGGCGCAGGTATTATAAATCACGAATAATGTACTAGATAATAATTTTCAGTGTTTTAAATGTACTTATAGAATCGAGAACCATATAAACTGTAAAATAACTTTTTTCGTATTGTGCTAGGTATAAATAATTTTAATAAAAATAAAACTGTAATACAATACATATTCTTGTTGTAAACCGTGTGATTAATACATGAATATATTAGTCATAACTAATATACAAACATTAGAACACTAACATCTGGCCTTTGGTTTACATACTATTGTGTAAAATTCGAACTTTTTACAATATTTTACTCGCTCAACTTACAATTATATATTTCAATTTTTCGGACTTGATTTCGCCGTTTTAGTTAAAAAAATCATTTGTATTCATGTACAGGTTTGAATTGTTTACGTTTATTTGTTCTTGACGCGCGTCAAAAATAAAAGCAGTCATCTGATTGACAATCGTAGTGTTCAGGTTAAACTTTATTAAGAACTTTGTTTTCCCATTTGACGTTTGGTAAGTCAAATACGTGAGGTCCTCTACCTACAAACTAACTGAAAGCAGATCTAGATTGTGAATCAACGTTGATCGTGCTAAGTGCTGACTCGATGAAATTAACATTAGTTTTTATACAAACAGTCGGAAGTTTTCAAAGCTATTTTTCGATAAGATTTCTCTCGACAGAAATTGTCCATACAACTTTTTTATTTTGCAATATTCCTCAAACTTGTTTTACTTTTTTAGAAAAACTTTTTTTTTTTTTAAGAACCTAATTGAAACTCTGTTTCGATAACATTTTATTTATTTGACACGTTTGAAACAATTGTAAAACTTATTGAAATCTATTATTGTCTAACACGGTCTTTTATTCTTGTCAGAGTCATAGACGTCCAACAAAATATAACTTTGATCAATTATTCAAAAACTGTTCGACCAATAATGTCTGATTCGCATCAACAAACTTATAGTTTATCTCGCTGACAAACATTTGTGAATGCCAANTATCTCGCTGACAAACATTTGTGCATGCCAAGTGAAGTACTTCGAGTTTAACAAATAACAGTATACAACAATGCTTATAAATGACCATATATTATGAACAAATAAATGTATATATATATATATATATATACTTTTGAAATATTAATATAAAATCTATGATATTGAATTATTATTGTTACAATAAATAGAAGAAAAACAATAAGTTAAAGCCAGTTAATTACAAATTTATTATACATATGTGTTGAATTTTTCTTCTGAGAACATCATATTAGAATACATGTCCCAATCTCATGGAAATTAATAGATTGTATCTTAACAAATACATTTTTACATATCCAGAAAAGATAATATCTAACGAACGAAACTAAAAAAATGTTTTATATACTAAATTTATTTTTAGGAATGAAGTTGACCGATATATTTTTAATACTAAAAATAAAAAAATTATTTAATATAAAAATTGTTAGTACTCTGCTCGTTTGTAAAACGTTTGAAAAAATCAAATATATATAATTTTTTTTTTTTTTAGTCAAACTAAACTGGTGTCTGGACAAAAATTCAAACAATATCTGTCGGGTAACAAAAACATTTCTATAATTCATATAAGAATTAATGCTTAGTATATACTTTACTCTGTCATATTCACCATACCCTGACCGAAAAGCTTAAATAAATAAGCTTCAACTTTCATGAATGTTTTTTAAAAATTATTTATTTTGTGTGAAGATGAGAGAAAATAGACTTAGATGGTTTGGTCATGTTATGAGGAGAGAAGAATCGGAAGCTGTAAGAACTGTTATAGAAATGAATATTGAAGGAGGAAGAGGTAGAGGAAGACCAAAAAAGAGATAGAGGGATGCTATTGAATGCGATATGAGGACATCTTATGTGAGCGTAGATGATGTGGGAGATCTTGGGCAACCCCAAGTAGTTGGGATTAAGGCGAGAAAAAAGAAGAAGATTTATTTTGTGTGAATTTTTAAACTTTTATATATTATATGTCAACTAATTATGACATTTAATTATTTTTACCTATATTTTGGTTTACTACAAGTCGCTTCTTTTATGTAAATCCTAAGGACTGCGCTGGCTCCCTACAATTATCACATCTGATTA